CAGATAGAACCCTCTATCATAGGCCTTCCAAGAGGAAGTACCTATGAAGGAGGCTCCCTGGTTCCATCTCATTCACGACCTGATAGAATGTGCAGAAACCGAAATGTATTGAGGCATTCAAGCCTTCCATTTCAAGTCTTCACGAAGTACAGACCCTCTATTTCTCAAGTTAGGAACATTGTCACGTGTTGAACTGAGGTGACGAATTTTAGAAAATTACGGTATAAATGTGACAGCAGATCAGTCATGACAGCGTTTCATGAAACTCAATAAGCTGCTGCTCCTCACAAGCACTATTCTGTTGACATTTAGTTACATTAAAGCACTCAAAGTGTTTTATTGTCTTCATGTGTCATCAGAACAGCAATAAACTTGCATAAGTAAGTAATATTAATTAACCATGACAAGACATTCAACAAGGAAATGGAATGAAGACACCCTCATATATAGGCTCACATCTGCCTGGGGCAACGGGGATTAGGAGTCACCACTTACAAAATCAGCAAACTTCTCTCCTTTACATTTATGAAAAATAAACTGGCTTGAGAAATGCAAGGTGAAGATATGGGAAAGTGTTTTGAGTCACCATAACAACACCTGTGGGGTAATTAGATATTTCTCTGAATGATATTGGCTTAATACGAAGATAGGGGTTTTAAAAAATCTCAGTACCTTGCCCCTTACTGTTTTTTAAACGTTTATCTCATGTTTAATACAGAAGTGTGGGGTTTTTCTATATTTTATTCTGTTGCAATTTTTTCCACCTATCCTTCCCTCTGGCTTTAAAACCTACCAAATAACTATCCAATGAACAAGAGCAGAGTAAAAGAGAATTCTTGAAATGTTACTTATATCCCTCTGGCTGAATTATAAAAAAGTATGCCAAAAAAGTCTCCAATACCTGTCACTGACACCTTCCTGTGATAAAAGTGCATGTCAAGGAAAAGGGTAGAGAGTGAAGAGAATTATCACAGAATTTTCTTAATAAATCATGAACATCATGGGTGTGACTACACTTCTACTAGTAAAATTAAAACTTCATGGGCTCAACAGAACTAGTACATGAGGTCCAATCCTTAATACGTGGGTAATAGAATAAACAAGAAGCAGCAAACCATCTTGCAGTTACTCATACAAGGTTCCCATAATCCTAGTAAGATGGCAACTAAATCACCAGTGTCACGAGACATCCTAGGTGGGTGCTTAGACTTCGCAGGAAAAAGTCTGTATCAGCTTATGAAAAAGAATAAGAGTCCAACCCCACCCCATGGTAGTGTTTCCTAGGCAACACCCAGATTCTTCAACAGATCAATTCAAATAAATGTAAAATACTGTATTGTCAGCATGCATAATTAGTTTTTGGTCATTACACCCTGACCTCATACAAAAACTGGATCGAGCCTGTGCATATTTTTCATTCTACAAGTCAAGATCCATCTAATGAGATAGATCGTCAGTAGACACAACTGGGTATACTGTCATGGGTTTTTGGGGCATACTCCTTAAATGTCCATTACAACAAAGAACACGTTAATCAATGTGCTGATTCTAGAATCGGAATCCAACTGGCATGACTGATTCCCTCTTTGTACAGGGTATTGCACATAGACAGCCTCCACAACCTAAAATATAGGATATAGAAAAAATTTTAATGAATATTTGGAATCCTAGTTCAATTTTGCTTCTTTTCAATCCCATTTTGTTTCTGATGTCATGTGATGGTGAAGAACTTTGATTCATTGATCACATCTGTGCTGTTTCATTTTGAGAAGCTTGTGAAGCCAGAGTTGAATTTGTTACCAGTTCATGGATTTTGAAAAAGATTTAACTTTCAGTTTCTGCATGATAAAACCATATTTTTCAAAGCTAGGAACACACAGCAAAGACCCAGGGATTGATTTCTTTTGAAATGTGGAATGGCCTGGAAACTAAGTTATGGACTAAGGGAACTAAGTTATGGGCATAAAAGGGCTGTACATGTCACTATAAAAAGTGCATGGTTTCATAATCACTGCTGTTTCAGGGATCATGGCCAACAGCTACCAGGTCTGCATAATAAATGATGGTAAGACATTAGTTACAAGGTCAAGGATAAAATGAATTTGTTTCTGTGCAGATGAGGGTTTGATCTTTAAAACTGCATGTGTAATCATCCTTGAAGAACCATAATACAGCCACAGCTGAGATTCACTAATATTGACCAAGTAAAAAAAGCAAATAAATAGTATCTCAGTAACTGTAATCACAAGGAAGGTTCTTTCATACACTTCATATTGCTTTGCCAGATTTTGCCATTGTCACCACCACCACCACCAAGACAATAGTAACATCAAGTTTTTTTTTTTTTGGGGAGGGGGGGAATAAGGGTAGATTCTATGCTTCCTTATTCTTAATCATCTTTGGAAGTTCGATTCAGTCATAATTGAAATTCTCAAGGTATATGGACTCTCGATTTAGCCTGAAAATCCTTCACTTCATGACTCCTCCTACTGTGATGTAACTTTATTGTATGAAACATACAACATGATAATGAAAGTCTGAATGAATTTAATTTTTTTTGTGCATATACTAGGCAATTCAAAAGTGACTCATACAGGTAAATGCAAGAAACCAGCAAGGTTTTTTATAGGGATGCACTGATCCAGGATTAGCTGACACTGATACCAATACCGATCCCGGAGTCTTGGAATCGGCCAATCCGATACAGATACCGACACCGATACAGACAGCTCCCAGTGACTGTCAGAAGTGAAACCACAATACAGAACCAGAGCTTAGTAGGCCTTATGCTACTTTTGGCATGGAAGGGAAGAAATAAAAAAACCTTGAACACTAATGAACCAACATTCCAAATTCCTGTAATTTATTTAGCTCTGGAGATATTTATGTCAACCAATAAATTTAATTCTTCAGAATAGGCCAAAACTTCCCCCGCCATTCACTGGGCCAGCTGAGAATATGACGGACATAGGTACTACGAACAAAGGACGATCAGTGTGAAGAGGAGTAGGAGTAGGGACTTTGTCTCATGTCCTTAAGGGATTAAGGAGTTGATGCAATTACAACTGGGATCGGTGCTTGAGGGGAGAGCTGGGGGTAGGATGGACGCGAGCACAAAGTGCACCTGTGCAAACCAGTCAGCGCAGGAAGGCAGGAGAGGGACAGAATGGGAAAAGTGAAGGAACGAATGTGTACGTGAATGACACTGGCCCATTCCATTTGTACAATGCCCAAACTCATTGTCCATCAGTCTGAGATTAACAAGAACTATGACAGACATAAGACTCGTATGCCATTACGAGTGGGCTTTTTTTCTTGAGATGTTCCCAAAATTTACACATTGCACATCAAGCATGACATGCAGCAAGGGAGAATTGGATAGGATCGGCCATATAGGTATTGGCTGATACTGATCCAGGCCGATCCACTGAATATCAGCCGATACCGATACTTTGGATCGGTATCGGTGCATCCCTAGTCTTTTTATGACCACCAACATTCATGCCACTAGATGAAACTGAAATACACCATATCCTGGGGTCAAACTTAAGGAAAACACTAATAAAGACAAGGGCTCTCAATTTCCAATGTGTGGCTAAGGTGGAAAGCATGATGGCTGCAAAAAAGTCAAGAATTTACATCTCATTACAGGAAGAAACCTAAGGATAGGGCATAAACGAAACTTGCATTATGTCCCCTATCATTAACCACCAATTTACTGATTGACCTCTGTAGTATGCTACACCTACATAGGGTTCAGAACATTAATGAAGGTTGGAGGGCATGTAGAAAGTTCATGAGATTTTCTGCCCTCGAAAAAAGGGTGACCTTTTCCCTTTGTAAGGAGCAGTCGGATCTCCACAGCCATCAGCACTTGCAATAAAATTTCTGCTTCCAAGAAATATCTTGAATTTTCTGAGATTCCACACCTTTCAAGCATTTGGTCCCCTAGTGCAATGGCATCCAACAAATGCTATTTTGACAAGTTAAACAAAACCATTATGTTTCCTGCATGTACATGTATGTAATACTTCACGCATATATAAGAAATTATGTGGATATCTCGGGTTGCCTTGAATTAGCACAGGAAAATGGGTTCCCAGTCAATTTCCCAACAGGATAGTTCCCTGTTTGTAAATTCCTTGATGAATTCTACAATGGTGACACAGAGGTATTTGTTTCCAAAAAAAAGTTTTCAATCTCCCACATCATACATTGAGGAATGGGGAAAAGGGGATGCAGCCACCCCCCAAGTGAGCTGGAATAGAAGTGAGGGAGGTCTAGGCGAATGGAAAGAAAGGGGAAAGTCGCTAATATTCTCTAATCCTGGAGGGGTGGACATCATTTAATTATTTGCCCCCCCACCATAGGAAACATGTTTTGCCAAGGGAACATGACTATGGATACAATGCCAGTCAGATCACTGATAATGATTCTCATGGGAAAGGAAAAGAATAATGAAAAAAGGCAACAGAAATGGTGGCAGGATAATCCAATCAACCACCACAGATGAGATGATTGACAAGAGGACTATCAAGATCTAAAATGGGACTATATATAAAGAAGTCAGGTGGGTCAGGAATCGGATCAATGTGGTCAGTCCTTGGACTGTGTTTGGGTTTGTGGATTCATGGAGTTTAGGAAGAGTGACAGGTGGATGAATTTTCTTGTTCTAGCAGTCAACATCCACATGAAGAACAAAATGAGCAGGAGCAGACAGAGAATGTATTGGGAGTATAACATGATTTTTTTTAGAAAGTACTGTCATGGAAAACATTTCAATTCTTCTCACCATCAAATCAAAATGAAAATTTTATCTGGTAGGGTTGTTCTGTTATTTGTGTCATTCTCTTGTGTCTCTTCTGAGACAAGCAAGGGGGTTGACCATAAATTGACCCCTGGACATGAGGGGGACTGGGTGGTATTTAATGTTTGGCTATTATCCCTGAGACAGAAATAGCATCATATGAGCAGCAACTCTCAGATTAGGACTTCACTGGTATCTGAATTTGAGAAAATCCATAAAGAAGGAAATTTATTCATGTAAGAGACAGTGCAATCACCCTCCATCCACTACTGTAAGTTCACTGATGTGTAACATTGAGGAACTGTCTTGGAGAATTGACTGGACACCAGGAAAATGACATTCTCCTGGACTTACTATCCATCCTGTACTTTAGCTGGCACCTTCCATTAGGAACGCTGACAACAGACTCCTGAGAAGGCTATCAATACAATTTAGTAATGGAACTGATTTTAATGATTAAAATGGCAAGAATATTTTCTTCTAAAGGCACTCACTCCATGCAAACAATGAATCACAGTATTAAAGAAATGTTTAATGAGAATACTTTCATCTGATTCATCCATCAAATCATCTGCTTCTCAGCAAATGCTCTCACCAGATTCCTAATCTCCTTTTATGGTGGCTTAAACATAGATGCTTCAGGCAATATGGCATTTGATGAAAGGAAAAAGCTTCTTTCCTGTAGAGCAGTGGTGTCCAAGCTTTTGAGTTACTGGGACCATACAGCCTGTGGGTCACAGACATTCAGGCTACAAAACCAAGAACTTCTTGTCCTGGGAAGCTGGCCAAAGCCAACACTAAAGGGGTTGGTTGCTGAGTGAAGGAGCAAAGGGGGATGCTAAGTAGGAAACATTCCTGGATGCAAAAAATGTCTTAGCACTCATGAGGGGGCACTCACCTCCCTACATATTGCAGTTTTATTCCTTTTCTCTTATCTCCAGCATTTTTCCATTTTTTCTTATTTTCTTTTTCAAGCTGCACAGACGTCCACCATGGACTGCAACAAGTGGATTGCACTTTGGACACCCCTGCTCTAGAACTTTCTATTATTTTCAGAGGAATGTACAATAAGGTAACTTATAATTGCAAAGTGATTTCTGAGAAATTAGACCATCAAACAGAAGAAATTATGAGCACCATAAAATAACTGCTGATCAACAGCAAAATTAAAAAAAGATAATCTCTTTCAATTGTTCCCTACATAAGATACAAATACTGGGTCCATTGTTGCCCTTTGCAGGTAAAAGAAAGAACATTAGGCATAAGATTCTATTTGTCTTGAAGTGAGGAGATAAGGACAGAGTTCTCTTGCTTCAGTCTATCCCGCTCTGAGCTCAATGTGAGAACTTCCATGTGGAGAGTGGCCACTTGCAGCTCCAAGGTGGCCATCTGTTGGTCCTTTTCTTCCAGGAGATTGTGAAGATGAGAATTTTCCTTCCTGAGCCTCTCCAACATCTAGCAATAGCAAACAAAAATGCCATGGTGAATAGGTGAATAAGAGCAGGTTCAACATTTAATTTTTTATTTTCCAGAATCTACTAAGTGCCTACATCTTCGATGTTCTCATTGGCAGGCCTCCCATTTGTTGACAAAGAGGATCGGCTCACATTCTGAACTAGACTGTTGACTGAATCTGACTGGTGAAGGCTGGCATTGTCCTCATCATCAGCATCCAGATCAGATTGGCTATGAGAAAAAAAAAAGAATTCACATGCTCAGTTTCAACCTGAAGATCTGTGTGTAGATTACATCAGAATATAAATGACTTATACAGGTTCATCTGAAGTGCATATAATATATCTTCTATTTCTCAAAAACAATAAATGCCATCAGAAGTTTTAGGGTATTTTTACTGATGGAGCACACAAGAGGTTATAAAGGATAAGAAAAAAGTTGGTGAGCAGCTTTCTTTAATCTTTAATCTTTCATTCATCTTTCTTTTTATAATTTTTTATAAGTCAGACTTACCACATTTTGCCAGACAAACATGACATTGATAACTTATCAGAGAAAGCATACAATGAAATTTTCACTCCATTGCGAAATGAAGATGCACTATGTAAGTGTTTCATAGGCCCAGTCTACTCTTCCATCAGAATGAGAATTTAAAAATTCACTCTACCATGGATAGTGACTCAAGGTGCATTAAATATCTGCACTATATTACCGAAAGTATTGGGACAAACCTCCCTCCACTGACAACAGCTATTCCCAGGGGTCATGTGCTCTGTAGAGTGTATTATGGTAGTCCAAAAGTATATTCCTTAGGAATAGTAGGGACAGTAGGAACAGTAGAAACACTTGCTGAAACACATGTAGATTCGTTAACCTCCAGGGCGATGGCTTTTAGGTTAGACATCCAGTTTGCCTATACCATGTTTCACTGTTCACCATGCCAAGTCCTTCAAAACTTTTTGCCTGCCAGGTCTGGGTTCCACACTAGCATGTCTCATGGTATTCCACTTTCATATAATATTCCTCACAGTTAACTTGTGGAAGTGTAAAGTCTTTGCAATCATCCACATACATGCAATATGTGACAACCAACTATCATGCCATGTTCAAACTCTTGTCAGCTCCAATCCATGTGTTATATTGACAAACACTGACTGCAATAGATTGCAATTACCTTTATATACCTTTGGACTACTGTAATGCCCTCTACAGAGCACATGATTTCTGGGACAATCTCTCATTGGCAGTAGCAGGCTTGTCCCATTACTTTTGGGAATATAGTGTATATATCTCCCTGTAACACTATTGATGCCATGTCTAAACACAAAATAGACCACAAGCTCAAATAACTTTACAGCAATCATTTCCATTAGAGAGAAAACGATATTAGCAAGGGGATACAAACATTAAATTCCAGTATGTATGCCACGAAAAGAATCTGATAAGTGACTGTGATAAGGAAAGCAAATTCTCAACCACTCCTAACTCTTGACTGGCACTGCCAGGTGAATTGCACAAACATGTACCAGGTGGCCCTGGCCAGCTTTAGAACAATTTTTTAATACATCAAATAACAACTCTAAAGGTTGTTTCCCAAAAGTTTTAAATTGCACAGCCATTGGGATAAAAGTCATCAAAACTTCAGTAAAACATCATGCTTTTTCATGTATCCTATTATAGTGGTTCTTCACAATTGTGCCAAGTCATCATGTCTCAGTTAAAGGAATAACTTCCTGTGATAAAAGTGCATGTCAAGGAAAAGGGTAGAGAGTGAAGAGAATTATCATAGATTTTCCTAATAAATCATGAATTGTGTGTTCTTTGAAGAGTCACCAACAAATTCCCAACAACTGGGCCAATCTAATAAAAGAAGAACCCAACATGCATAATTCTCAAAGGACAGTTTCTCTCATATATTGGATGTACCATGGAGTCCAGGGTAGTGAATGTTGAAAAATGCATAAATAATGTCTTGATGCTAAATGCAAACTCCAAAAGTTACAACAGGTATACATCAAAGGACACTAGATAGGAGTTGTGCCAACAATTCTACTACCCTGATGCAAGCAGAGGAAATTGATTTTCAAGAAGAGAATGACTTTATTCTGAATGCAAAAAATAATGTAGTGAAAATGGAAGTCACAGATCACCCCAGGAAGGCTGTATCATAAGCAGTCCCACTTTCCTCAAAAATTGTTGGCATCCTGTTATGTTTCTTGGAATGAAAAAAAAGTATGTTCATCAATCCAGAGAGGACCAAAGTTGATGCAAGGATGCACATTGCCCACTTGAAAGAACTTTTACCAGAATGTGACTCTATAGTCAGAATGACTTCTGTTTTCATTAAACTCTTTCAAGATTAGGTTCTGCCACATGCAATAGCTGAACAGAGTGAGTGTGCAGGGTCCTACCTGCAGCCACAGCTGTTCCCCTGACCATAGCATGCTTAATAAATTGCTCAGATAAAGGAAAATGTCAAAATCCGTAAATGGCACAAAGTCCTGCAATGTCTTAAATGCTGCACTTGAGGGTTAAAACAGTGCACAACGCCATGGATCTCACATAACTCTAGCCTTTCCTTGGAATGATCCACGATATTCATCAAGGAATTCAAGTGGCCTCCTAATTCTACAGACCTGAATCCCTTCACTATTTTGCTTGTAACTCGTTGCAAAAACACATTTATGCAGGATGGCATGATCTTTTCACAATGCTCCAGGACTTACAACAGCAAATAGAATAGGTTTGGCCCCTGATATCTAAGGAACAAATCTGGCATGCCATTTCTCAGTGAAAAGATTACTGGCAGCTGTTCTAAAAAACAGAGGCCCATTCAACACCTGTTTTGAACCAAGGTTGTGGAAATGGTGAATTTCTAGCATAATTTTTGTCTTCTAGCCACACAACCTAGCAGTCCTTCAGAAAACAAAATTTAGGTCCTTTTTTGAGATATCAAAAAATTATGAAGATAGCACTTCGACAGTAGGTGTTTTACAGCATCAAGCAGGGCAATGTTTTTTAGCTGCCTGCTATTATGCACCAATGCACACTTCCTATGCTTACTGCTATTCTTCTCTCATGCCACCCATATCTTCATCCCATCCACATCCTTATGGTGTCTAGTTGGACTGAGTCTGAAGACTGCAGATGCAAAAAACTGGCTTCCATCTAAATCAACAGTAGAATTTTTCCTTCAGACAATGTCTCATTAGCTCTTTCATACTAAAATCAGTCATAAACAACTGTCCCAATAGAGATGAGTACAGCCATATCTAGCCAATCTGGACAAAGGATTTCTGGATGTATAATTTTCCTATAGATTGAAATGAGTAAAAAAAACCAAGCACATTTTCCACATCCTTAGTTTCATATATTTTCTCAGCACTTGAAGAGACATTCAGGATTGTTTGAGCTCAAAGACAATACACAGGGTGACAAAAATGTTTTTACACTATTTTCTTGAATAAATTTTTCACATGTTAATTTAAAGCCTTGCAGTATGATAACACCTCATTCTTATGTCTAATTCTGTTCTATCATGCATAGAAGTCAAACCCATGGGGGCAAAGGGGCATGTGCCCCCACAAAAATGATATTGGGGGAGCAATGCCCCCAGAGAACATGAAAAACAAAATTATATTTCATGAAAGATATGATAAATATGGTTTTCCTATCTGTTTAGGCACTTCCAATCATCCCCACTTGTCAAGCAACTATCCCACTGGATCCTAGAATGATTCCTTTATTGTTATTCCAGGGGCAATAGGACCTTGCCCCCACAATACATTTTAGAAGCTGGCACCTATGCTATCATGTCTATTTCAAACATTCTTTATAATCTCCATAAAAAGTACAGTCGTGGATGTTAAACAAGCAGCTATAATTGGATTGTTAGAAGTGGGATAAAGCTGGATATAAGATTGCTAAATTGCTTGGAATCCTGAGAAAAACTGCATAAAGGATTAAAAATTTTGTTTGTTTAGTTGTTTATATTAAAATTTATTCTTTGACTTACAAAGAGAAATTGTTATCATATGTGTTGTCATATGATATGAGGGTAGTTTGACAATGAGTGAGAATCTCAATAAGGAAGCACTTTGAGCCATTAACTACCATTTATTTTTCAACATGATCACCAATAATGCTACTACACTTCAACCATCTTTCTTTACACTTGTTTACACCAGTGGTCCAGAATTCCAAAGGTATGCTGTCCAACCATCTCATCACAGCCTCCTGCACTTCATCATCAGTTGAATATCTTTTTCCTTTGAGATCTGATTTCAAACATAGAAACACGTGGAAGTCGCTAGGAGCCAGGCCCAGCAAATATGGTGGATGAGGGAGTTCTTCGAACTTGCATTCACCTAAAGCTTGCAGCACAATGTGAGCTTTGTATGGTGGTGCATTGTCGTGCAACAGCAGAACTCCTTTCTTCAACTTGCTGCGACATTTCTCTTTGATCCCTGCATGCAATCTGGACAAAATGTTGGCATAATATTGGCCAGTGATCGTCATCTTTGGTGGCAAGAAGTCAGCAATTAAAGGTCCCTCTGCATCCTAAAAGAGGATCAGCATGACTTTCCCTGCTGATTTGACCACACATGCCTTGACCGGTGGCTGTTTTCCTTTCTCTGTCCACTGCATCGATTGCTGTTTGTCTCAGGATTGTGGTGATAAACCCAGGTTTCATCCTCAGTCACTAATCAGGAGGAAAGTTCTTCGGATCCACGTCTAAGCATCATAAGAGATCCAAACTCAACTGCATCCTATTCTTTTTTTTTTTCTCATTTGACAGCAATCAGGGGATCCATTGGGTAAAGACCTTTAATAGGGCCAATTTTTTGTGCAAAATGAAACAAACACATTCAGTGCTGATGCCTAATGTCTCCACTATCTTGCACACTATTGTTCTTCTATCTGCCATCACAATCTGTTAGACGGTAACCACATTTTCATCAGTGGTCACTGTTGGCGCCCAATTGGATGGTTGGCCTTCAAATGACTGCTGACCACAACAAAACTGACTGACCCAGCATACGACTGTACTGTATGGTAAAGCATTGACCTGGTAAACATTGACGAGCTCTGCATGAATCTGCATCACATTCTTGTCCTTCCACATCAAATAATGGATCACTGCATGCTGCTCAACAACAAGATTTTAATCCATTTTCCAAAGATGGTTTCAATTTGAATACTATATCTCCTGATGTGAGTAAGCTACTGAGCTCAAACTTGGCCCACAGCCTTCTAATATGTAAGGCTGCTTTGTTATAGGTTAAACCTTGCCATATATTAGTGTGCAATTGAGATTCTCACTCATTGTCAAACTACCCTTGTATATCCTTATTGGGGTGATTGTTTGAGTTGGAAGATTTAAGATGTTTTGAAAGCTTGGTCATACCTGCAGAATGATGGTCAAGCGATGAGTTGCAGACTCATTCGGTAACAGAGATATTAATAAAAAAGTTTGAAATAGACACAAAGAACAGAATTAGATTAACAAAATGTGTGG